TCAGTCTCATTAGTGTTAGATTCTACTCCTGACTTAACGTGCACAGATTTACCAAGTATTAACATCCATGAAATCAAAAAGCATCTAACCATCACTGTTACCAGGTGATCATTACAATGTGTTTGTATGAAATGTGTTCACAACTACTAAGATACTGAAAGATATGTGTCTTATTATCTACGTATTTCATTTTCATTTGGAAGATACAAGACAGGCAAATGTACATAAAAACTATGATCTAAGTGTGAAGTGAATGACATAAAAATGGATGATGCAGTTTTCAGGGAGCATCTTTGATTGGATCTCAGAAATGTACCTGAGGAACAAGAGACTCCTGGCTGCTTTTGAAAGACGGGGAGGCCTGATGGAGAGAGGGAAGGGTCTACTGTCTCTCCATCTCTACCTAACTCTGTGTATTTCTAGGGCCATGAGAAGGGCCTTACTGCAATTGTGTAGAAGCCCAAATGGGATTCATGGACCCTTTGGCTATTATATTTATCATTCTGTCTGAATTAAATACCTCCTGCCGATCCCAACCCTCTCACACCTTGATGTCCTATTTTAAAACTCTTAGCTTACACACACTTTAGCTGGGGAGCTTTCTTTAATACCTTGATATTTGTTAATTATCATTCCTGCCTCTCCCATCGTACCTCTCCCATACCCTTCCTTTATTACTCATTAAACATATTTTAGTTCCTACTAACTTGATGTCTGTCTCATGAAGCTAACATCTTCTAGAAATGAGTGCTCTTCCGCTCTGCTTTGAGCTCTGGCTCTGGCACATGGCAGGTACTTACTAGATTTAAACTGAATGAATTACCCAGCCCATGAATGTAACTATGGTTGCTGGCTGTAGTCATAAAGGTTCCAGCACGAGTTCATCATTTTAGGAAGCTCTAGTGCTTTGCTGATTTCCACCAAGAGTTGGAGCATAGATTATGTACTTCTGATACTGCAGTTTAAAATTCCTTTTATTTCAAACTTATTATGAGTGCTTATTTTAGAGCAAGCTGTCTGTGCCTGACCGAGACCCTCATTAAGTTGTCTCTTGAAACATTGCATAAATCAGGGCATATTTCATGTGGGAGCCTATTCCCAGCTGTTGGTATAGTGAGAGTTGAGACTAGAAGCTGAGAATGAGTCACCATTCACTCACTAGCATTTAGGGTCCTTTCTTTCTTTTCTTTTTTTTCTTTTTTTTCTTTTTTGGTACCGGAGATTGAACTTGGGTCCTTGCACTTGCAAGGCAGGCGGTGGAACCACTGAGCTAAATCCCGGGCCTGAGGGTCCATTCAACTTAAGCTGAAATAAAGTTTTGCTCCTTCCCTTTTTTCTGTCTTAGGGTACTCAAGCTATTTGCTCGTTAGTTGTTTCTCTAAGTTAGCAGTGGGAGTGACTAACCAGTTACTTTTTTTGTGGAGTGATACTCTTGCCCCTTGAGATTAAAAAGTCAATTAAAAGATGTCAGATGGTGTGTGTTTGCACTCTTTCTAAACCAATCAAATACGACACTTGAATTGAGAATAACAGGTCAAATTTTTCACTAATTTAAGGAATAAAATCTGCCTCTTGTCTAGACAAACTCAGCCTACCCCAGAATCTGTGGGGATTCGGAACAAAAGCTGATTCTTTTCTTTGTACTGTAGATTGGGTAACACCCCGAGATACAGCTAAGAATGGATGTGTTGAAGTAGGTTAACTATAACAAATGAAAAAGAGGAAAGGATATCACAGTGGTGCCTGAATTCAACACAGGCTTCTGTGTCATATATGTCTATATCAGCATAGACTGTGCTGATGAAACAGTTTCTGCATTGTGAGATCTGTGTATCAGTGGCCTTTTAAGAAAATATAGCCCAAAGCAGGGAAGCTATCACTTCAAAGCATGCCAAAGTGCTTACATATAGCCCGGAAATTAACCATGTCAGCAGGCATGATAATATTTCCTGTAAAGCCTGAAGCCCCCTTTCCTATGCTAATGATTATCAGTGTGTGCTGATGTCTGACAGGAGATGTCTTAAAATTTTCTTTTTTTTCTTTCTGTTGTTGTTGTTTTGTCTAACCCTGCAAAATAGAACTGGTCTCTCCTCGGCTGCTCTTCTGGGCAATTGCTGAATGGGATGTAGAAAAGGGCCGTGAAGAGGTATGGCCAGTCCTGCCCTTCAGTGCCCCTGCTTGTTCTCTCTGCTACTCTCCTGTTGTTATAAAGCAGACTCCATGAAACATACAGGCCCCAGGCCTACTCGGGTCACAGAGTCACGGTGGGGGTGAGAGGAAACTCTATACTGACCTATTGGAATTTTCAAGTGTTTTTGACAGGATCTCGATGTCTCTATCAAGGTAATTTTATTAGTCTTTTTGTCAGTCAACTAATTTCTTTTGAACATGAAACACAGATAGGTATTTAATTCAATGTTGGAGGCTTCTTGAACTTGGACTAAGGGATATGGAAACTTTGGAGAGCTGCTCAGAAAAGACGATGACTGAAAATGAACAACTTTTGGAAAAATAGTAAAAGTACTGTAGTTATAATATTTAGTTTAGAAAAGAACAGGGTCAATGTCATATTTGTGTACTGAGAATAAGATCCTTTATAGGGCTAAAGGTGTAGGGGTAGTGGGAAGGGTAGGGGAAAGAAAATAAGGGAAAAGAAAAAAAAACATGAGAAAATGAAAAAAATGGAAAAAAAGTATTTGTAAATAGGGAAGGGTGGAGGGGGTGAAGGGAGGGCAGGGTTAAGGGGGAAAAATGAGAACCGAGACCTGTCATGTAAAGGTCACGATCCCAGTGGTGAATGTAACTGTACTGTATACCTAAAATGTACCAATAAAGTCAGTGAGAAAAAAAATAGGATCCTTTATAATACTGAAGATCATAATCAATTAGGTTGACTACACTATGAGGAAGGAAAGGGAAACAGGATTCAGTTATGGGTAGCAGATTTGTCTTCGGTGGAATGGTGATTTTCTTTACTCTTGAGGATTGATTAACCAGGGAACAGGTTACAAAAGACTGCAAATTTACTTTGGAATCCTCAAAAAAAAAAAAAACAAAACCCAACAACAACAACAACAAAAACACAGGCTAAACTTTTCTGTGCCTGCCATAGCTGTGAAGATCTAAAGGAACACACCATGTAATTTTTTAAAATGATTTTTTTTCCCTGTTAAGGTCCTGGATTAAGAGTTACACATTTTTTTTTTTTTTTGAAAAACAGCTCTGTGTCCATATCCTTAGGCAATAAAAGAAATAATTGATATGAATAAGATGAGACTTAAGTCTCATTTTGGAATTACCACCTAGTCTTATTCTGCGAAGAAGGTTGTGAATTCTTGGGTAATTGCTTTTTTGATCTGCTTTCGGCTCAACAAATCTCTCTCATTGTTTTAAGTTGTCTTACCTTATGTTTATTAAAATACTGATGAGACCACAGCCACGCTGATTAGAAAGAGACTTATTTACTTAAACTTTTCAACATTATGAAATGAAAAGTAGATTCTAGTATTGGAAGACAGATCCAGTGAGTCGTTTGCTATGTACCCATCATTATTTTTTTTTACAAGAGTTTGTTCTAGGTCTTTTGAAGTTAAATTTTTTTTGTAAAATGGGATTTTTAAGTCATAAAAACAAGTATCCTAAGACTTCTCGAGGGGATGTATCTTCCCTAGTGATTTTTGTCCCGTTTAGTTAATAAATAGGAGCACCACTGGCTGGCACTGCTCGTCACTAGGTGTTGTTTAGAATACATGCGATTGAAGCTGTTTTCTCCCTTGCCCGTTTCTCACTCCTTGACTCTGGCCTTGAAGTCCTTCTGCCTTTTCTTCAAAGCTGTGCGCGCTTTCAATACATCTTTCATTTTTTTTTTTTTTTTGTACCACGGATTGAACTCAGGTCCTTGCACTTACGAGGCAGGCAGCAGAACCACTGAGCTAAATCCCTGGCCTTTTCACATGTTATTTTATGACTTTGTCCTGCCGGGTTTCATGTGCCTGTTATCTTTTGATTTGCTGTTCATTTTCAGTTTTGAGTTTGTTCTATTTCTGAAATAAGTCACTGTATTTAAAGGTATTTGTCCAATGTTTTCTTATCTTTCTGTTTTTTTGAGAGAGAGAGAGAGAGAGAGAGAGAGAGAGAGAGAGAGAGAGAGATGGAGGGAGAGGGAGAGAGAGAGAGAGAGAGACTCTCTGTGTATTCAGACTGGTCTTGCACTCACTGTGTAGCTCAGGCTGGCCTCCAACTCACAGGGATCCTGCCTCAGCCTCCCCAGTACTGGGATCACAGGTGTGCACCACCACGCCTGGCTTTCTTGTGTTCTCTTTGGGAGGGGCTTGGGCTTACCAATCACACATATTTTGATGATAACTTGAAAGCAGATCAGCAGTTTTCTTGACAACAGCAGGGTGAGTCCGCTTCCTAGTGGCCCTGGCTCTGGGTCCCCTCTGGGTCCCCTCTCCCTCTTTACTGTCACGGTTCAGTCCCCTGCCCTGGTCTGAACTATTGCTGTTCTCCCTACTCTGTCTCTCAAACATAGCAAGAGGTAAATTTGCACTTTGTCTCCACGCTTAAAACCCTCTATTCCCAGTCTGTTGTCCACAGGATGTGATCTAAACCCCTCAGCGTGCATGGAATTCGCTGTAGGAGCTGAGCATTCCCGGCTGCCTGGGCATCGTCTGTCCCTAACCTTTGGGGCGCACCGTTCATTACTCCGGCCCCATCACCCTCCGTCCTCTAGGTGCAGGAGAGGCCGAGCCCTGCTTGGAGCTGGAAAGCGTGTTTCTCAGCCTCAGCGGTGGAAGCGCAGGATGTGGCCCAGTGGGTGCTGAGCCTCAGGCTGCAGCGCCGCCGTGGGTTAGAGCCAGAGCCAGCGCTGACTGAGGAGAGGCGATGCGGGCCCCCCTGCCCACTCCCTCCGAGTGGCGAGGAAAGCTGGCTCTGCTCAGCTCGCCACAGTCCACCCTGCGCCCTGACACCACCGTCTGTTTCTCTCCCCACCTCAGCGTGCGATGGCGATCACTGGGGGCCTCACTGCAGCAGCCGGTGCCAGTGCAAAAACGGGGCTCTGTGCAACCCCATCACGGGGGCCTGCCACTGTGCCGCAGGCTTCCGCGGCTGGCGCTGTGAAGACCGCTGCGAGCAGGGCAGCTACGGGAACGAGTGTCACCAGAGATGCCAGTGCCAGAACGGAGCCAGCTGCGACCACGTCACGGGGGAGTGCCGGTGCCCACCGGGGTACACCGGGGCCTTGTGAGTGACGCCTGCGCCCGGCAGTGGCCGGAGCCCACCTGCTCTCACGGCCACGTCACCGCCGCCACCGCGCTCCTTGTGCCTCTGTTTCCGTGGCAGCCCGACGAGCAACGGGTGGGCACGGGCTGTAAACACAGACAGGGGGCCGAGCAGTGATGGCCCCAAGGTCCTCCTGCCGTTCGGCCCTCAGCTGCTAGAACCCGGTCAGAATGGAAGGGCCGGGTCACCAGGTGGAAAGTGTCAGGATGCTGTGAATCCACCATAACTGTAGTCATTCTGTACCGCTGGGTGTTCATGGACCACACCGTCCCGCTGTTTCAGTTCATTCGCGGGATAAAGCAGGGTGGGTTAGGGTCTCAGAAAAGGAAGATGTTATACGGTCCATGTAAGATCACAAAGATTGCTTGGGTTGCTTGACGGCCAGAGTTATGCATGCTGCTTTGTTACTATCAAGATACATATGGGAAAAATGGACAGGTCATGTGCGCATAGTTTTTAATTTTTTCTGGGGACCTTTGAAGCAGCTACTCAATCCCCATTGGTTTGTTTATCTTGGGGAAAAGGGAGATTCTTCAATTTGCTTCTACTAGCAAACAGAATAAGAGGCAGAATTCACCACAAAAACAATTAAGAGAGAAAAATCTTGTTTCCTTACTGGGAAAATTATATTTATAAATCTCAGAACTGAAACTTGAAAAAAAGTCACCTGATTAGGTAAATACTTCCTGCCAACCGTGTTACTGTGCATAAAGTAGAGCTAAAGAAGAAACTGAATTAGCCTAGAAGGCCCTGATTTTCAAAAGGATGGATGATCATCGCCTCAAACTGTTTAATTGTTAATATTGCTTTTTATGGAGGCCACAACTGAATAGGGCTGTGGGAAACTAGGAGCCATTTCACAGGGGAGCAAAAGAGGCAAAGGTTTAGAGAAGACAGCCATCCGACCTAGGGGCTGCAGGAAGGGAGGCTTGTCAGCCGGGAGAAGCGCTGAAAGCTGATTCGGACAAATGTGTCCACCCAGCGGGTAATTTGCAAATGTTCTGATTTTCTTTGAAACTAGAACAGACACAGAAAAGCAGACTTAACTGTGGCACAAGTGGGCTTATAAGGGTTATGTGCAAAGTTCTTGCCACCAGTGAGTGGTGATTTGGCCATTTTACAAAAAGGATCTTCTCAGATAGAATAGATTTTCTTCAAACTGAAATTGTTTTCTTAGAAAGTACCCCAAAACAAAGGGACAGACTGGGTGGTTCCTCCAAAACATTGCGGTCCATATGATAAATGCCCTGGTTGTTAATTAAATAATCATCGAACGGGGAAATCTTGTCTCTCTTAGGGCCATGGGTGCAAGTGTGTCTGTGGACCTGAGGACCACGTAATTGGGTAAATAATGGTGTCCTGTGTCACACTTTAATCCCTCAGCTGTGAGGATCTTTGTCCCCCTGGCAAACACGGTCCACAGTGTGAGCAGAGGTGCCCCTGCCAAAACGGAGGAGTGTGTCACCACGTCACTGGAGAATGCTCCTGTCCTTCGGGCTGGATGGTAAGCTTCCCTCCCCCCACACCCTCCGCTCCCGGAGTCATGCACTCCAGGTCACTCAAGCGAATACCATGTGAAGACTTTTTTTTGTTTTTTGAGACAGGGTCTCACTATGTAGGTGAGACTGACCTAGAACTCACTATGTAGCCCAGACTGGACTCAAACTCACAGCGATCCTCCTGTCTCAGCCTCCTGAGTGCTGGGATTACAGGCGTGCGCCACCACCCCTGGCTTCATGTGAAGAATTTTGTACAAAAGGCAGCAGCAATGATGTATAAAGATTCCAAAATTGGAAATACACAGCCATTTTAAAACTAATATCCTGTGTCCAGAGAAAGCAGAGAGGGATTTAGGCCTGGACTTGAAGTGTGTGGAGGATCCTCCTGGAACAGAGTGACCCTCTGTCCTGCATTTTTCCCTAGTGATAAAATGATAGCACAGCTGATAAATACTGGGATTATTTAATAACCATGTTCATAATTATGTCCATTGGTTATTTTTTCATTGGTACATTTTAGGTACACAATATAATGACATTCATCATTGGAAATTTGTACCTTTGTGTAATCTGTCTTGGTTTTTATTTTTTCCCCATTCCTCTGCCCCTCCACCCCTCTCTAATGACAAAGACTTTGTTTGCTTTTTCTCACATTAATTCCATTTCCTTCTTTCCTTTCCCCCACCTATCCCACTTCCCCTTTAGCCCTTTTCTTCCTATTTCACATTATCAATTATACATTTTGATCCTTATTTGCACATTTAGAGAATATTTACACGTGTGTCCTATTTATTTCACTTAAGAGTATGGCCTCAGTGTGCATCCTTTTAGCTACAAATGTCTCTAGTTTCTCGCTCTTTATGGCTGAGTAGTACTCCATTTTATTTTTTAAAAAACCCACATTTTCTTCATCCAATCTCCAGTGGATGGGCAATTGGGCTATTTTTAAATTTTAGCTATTACAAACTGTGCCTCTATAGACATGGGTGAGCATATATCACTGTGGTATGATTCTATTAATTCTTTGCAGAAGATACCCTGCAAAGGAATTGTTGGGTCAAATGAGACCTCTAATCCTAGCTATTTGAGGTATCTCCATATTGATTTCCACAGTGGTTGCACCAGTCTGCACTCCCACCAGCAATGGAGAAGGGTTCCTTTCTCCCCACAACTGCACCCCCAGCATTTGTTGTTGGTTGATGTTATGATAGCAGCCATTCTTTCTGAAGTGAGGTGGAATCTCAGTGTTATTTGCATCTGCATCTCTTGAATGACCAGTGATGTGGAACATTTTTTCATATGTTTATTTGAGGCACATTTTTGAATTGAATTCAGATGCACATTTATATTTGGGGGTCTAATTGTTTTGAGTTTTTATACATTCTAGATAGTAAACCTCTTTCTGAGGAATAGCTCATAAAATTTGTTTTCCCACAGTGTAGGTTGTCTCTTAGCTCTGTTGGTGGTTTCTCCTGTAGTGAAGAAGCTTTGTAATAAGATGAGATCCCAGTTGTTGATTATTCCTGCTAGTTCCTGTGCTACTGAGGATTTGTTCATAAAGTCTTTTCCTAAGGCAATGTCTTTGAGAGTTCTACCTAACTTACCTTCTAACAAGTTTAGTGTTTCTGTTTTAATATCTAGATCTTTAATCCACTTGGATTTTAGTTTAGTGCATGATGAAAGATAGCAGTCTAGTTTTAATCTTTGTCAGGTTGAAAGCCAGTTTTTCCAACACCATTTATTAAAGAGGCTATTGTTCGTCTAGTGAGGGTGGTTGGCTCCTTTGTCAAAGATGAGGTAGCTGAGCATGTCTGGAGTTGTTTCTGCATCTTCCACTGATCCTCAGGTCTGTTCCTTTGCCAGTACCATGCTGTTTTTATCACAGTAGCTTTGTAGTATAGTTTCAAATTGGGGGTTGTGATACCTGCTGCCATGTCTCTGTTGCCTAGAATGGTTCCTATTATTTTTTTTTAGAACAATTCTCAACAAATTAAATGTTGTGTGAAAAACTTCATCCAATCATATAAATCTGGAGAAGCATGGAAGTAGGTCACACTGCAGAACTTCTCAGAGAACTTGGTGTAGTAATACAATAGCAAACTGAAGCTCATTACATTTCCCAAATTTCGCCCTAACACCTTTTCTTTATGTAACACTGTCACAGGCTCAGTGCTCTCCCACTGTGTGAAATACTCGGTGTTGAAGCATTTACTAATTAGACTTACCTGGAAGCAGGAAATGATGTTGGTTCTTATCTCTCTGGGTTGGTTGAGAGCAGTGAACGACCGATGTCCGTTTTCTTCAGTAACAAGTCTAGTTGAAAGAGCAGTTTGCTTCGTTATCACCTATCTCTGCTGGTTTCCAAGGTGACAAGTGGCTTCTTACTGGCCAGACCCTCTGAGAACGCTTCTGTTTTCACTCTGCTTCACTTCTCCAAAGGTGTGACTTTGTTGATCGCTCTCTTCCCCTCCTTGACCTCTGTCTTTCACTCCTCTAATAGCCCTCTGTCTTACTTCTCTTATTACAGATCTCTTTTCCTGAACCCTCTTTCTTCTGTGTACCACTTCATTATGGCATTTCCTAGCTTTCTGCTTTATCCTTCTTCTCTTTTCTCACTATAAATCCTCTCTAAAAATTTTATGCAACTCCATGACTTGTGCAACCAACTGCTGATTTCGCCAAGTCTTGGTCTTACCTTCCCTGAGCTTAAATGTGTATTTGTCACCATCTGATAAATAGCACAACCTTGATGCCCAAAAGACACAAAGACAGTGTCTCACTGGGCTGTGCCTAAGCTGGAGTCTCCATAGCCAGATGTGGAGGTGAAATGGCCTGGAACTTCTGTGTATTGAGGATCTGGAGCAGAGGAGCCCTGGAGTCTGCTTACCGAGGGTGGTCTTGGGAAGTGTGGCAGAGTTCACGATGTCAAGGCGACTGTACCGCGAACACCTACAGCGAGGGTCAGAACTGTAAGATGGCCGAAGTCTGAGCCCAGAAGGAAAACATGAAGAAATTCCATAAGACATCGGAGTCAAAAGGAGACAGCTCCTTACTGAACACCTGAGGATGAGGCAAACGAACAGGGAACCTGTTGCAGGAGCACTGAGCTCATTCCAGAAGGCCCAGCAAAGTTACTGTTATCAAAGCCAAACTTGTCGTATGGCTGAGCCTTGCTCACAGCCATTCCTCTTCCGTCACTTTTTAATTTTGTGCCGCTAGAGACTGAACCCCGTGCTTTCCCACGGAGCTACATTCCCGTCCTTATCTACTTATTTCGGTTTTTATTCTGAGACTGGGCTTGACTAAGTTGCTCGATTGCCTGGGCTCGCTTTAAGCCTGAATCCTCCTGCCATGGCTCTTAGAATTCTGGGATTACAGGCGTGCTCCCTCCACGTCCACTTCCTCTTTTATCTGAGTGAAATTTAGCACTTCGTTACCTAAGGTAGAAATACCAGACTGTCTTTGACTCTCATTTTTCTTTCATTTCCTATATTCACCCTTTTACCAGAGCAGGTTCTTGGCTGGTCCTTCACAGGGGAAAGCACTGCTGGCCTGGCAGTGTCCAGAGATGCCTGTGCTGTTCAGATGAGGAACAGCAGATGTTCTACTCCTAGGGGTGTCTTGTGAGGCTATTTGTGAGCCGACTCTTCTTCCGGTTGCAGCTTTCTTTCTTCTCAGATGGAGTGGTCCTGTTGTAAGATGATGGGTCTGGACCATGACAGCAGGAAGTAGACAGACAGAAGGACCCTCCCTGGGTCCATGGAGCCTGCCGTCCACCACGTCCTCTGGGCACTGGAGCCCTAACCTTCACAGAGGTTTCTCAGTAGTGCTTGAGGCCATTGTTTTTCCTCTGTGTAGCTGAGCTTGCAACTTACAGTTGTCCCTTATTACATTATATTTGTGCTCTCATTTTAGGCATTTTTCAAAGATAAACATGTATTCCTATTAGGTATACACACAAGCATACTTCAACTAATAGAAATAATGTTTCTTTAAAGATGCTCGCTCACATTAGTCTTTGTTCATAAATAATATTTCAACTGTGTCCCTGTGAACTGCGTGGAACCATCATGGGTTGTTAGAAACAGGCCTGATGGTGCACATTTGCATGAAAACCCAGCTCACTATGTGCTGATCTTCATCAAGTTGTCACCTTGCACCTTACACTAAGTAAGTAAAGGAAGAATTGGAGCTGATTTTTCCACTTGTCCCCCTCACTGCCTTGTGAACTAATTGGGAACTGGGTCCTTACGTGCTAATTCTCAGTGCTTAGCACTCTGTCTGGCCCATCGATGATTCTCAGTTAAGTCTCTCAAGGGCTTTTTCGGTTCCAAGAGTCTGTGGGCGAAATTTCTCTGTTTACAGACGGCGAGGAACCACCAGAAGGGACTTAATTAGCACACCAACTGCCTTTGTGGGTAGCCAGTAGTTACAGAAATGTATTTTCTTATGCTATCCAGAATAAACATTTACAAATCCATCTGGTGTTTGCTGGCCTCCAATTTCAGAGTATTCACAGTCTGCTGTATTTTAGGTAGAAGGAGGAGAATGCTTTTCTGATACTTCAGAGCATTAGAAAAACTATCCCTGTTTTGTGGAATAAGTTGTTTGCTCTAATTATAATCTGATAAATTCCTCCAATAAATGCCCCAATAATTATAACTCCAATAACCCAAAACTACAAGTTTTGTACCTTAGTGAGGTAGAAAATAGTAAAGTATCTCACTGACTTCTTGGTATAGTGTCTTATTCTTATTCACGTAAGACTGTGATAAATATAGTGACTGAACTAGAAAGGATGGATGGCCTCTCAGCTGAAGAGAAACACCCAACTTTCTCTCTTGGTTTTATTCCCCCCCGGAAAATAAACTTTCATATGAACCTACTGAAAGTAAGTCTTTTTCTTGTGAAATAAATGTCTAGATTCCTTCCTATAGAGAATTTCTCATCAATGTTGTTAACTCAGGTACACAGAATTTTACTCGTACGTGATGGTATATTTTAAGAGACGAAGTCAGAGATCATGTGCCTTTTTTCTAGAACATATGGTAGAACATTCTATATTCCATTTGCACCAGATGCTGCCATTTGTGTAACAGATACTCAGTAAGTACCGTTGATTTATTGTGTATCTAAGACACAGAAAGAACACTTAGGAGGATTTATAAATTCCTTAGATTGCCATAATGATTTGATGTAACTTTATTTTATGCTTGCTTCTTTAAATTTTCTCATGATTACAATTTTGCTGTATTTGAATGTATCTTGAGATCTGGACTTACAAAGGAAATAAGTCCATCTAAAATTTCTAACATTTTCAGGTGATGAACAGTGCTTGTGTTCTAAAATTCTCTTAATCTAATTTTCTTGCAGCCCCTTTCCTATCCCCTCCTTTCCTTTCTGTGTCCTTTCTTTTTGTCTCTTTCCTTAGGTCCTTTTCTGGCTGGAGGCCCATCTAATTTTCCAAGTCTCTTTGAATGCAGGGCACAGTCTGTGGTCAGCCTTGCCCGGAGGGTCGCTTTGGAAAGAACTGTTCCCAAGAATGTCAGTGCCATAATGGAGGGACATGCGACGCTGCCACAGGCCAATGTCATTGCAGTCCAGGATACACGGGAGAACGGTGAGGGATGCTCTGGTGTTTTTCTGACCGTTTGTAATGACGTGAGAGAAAAGCTTGGAGGGGCTTGGGGAGAATCTTCAATGTCTTGTGCCTGTAATTATGCATAGTGTCCCAGAAGCACCTATGAAATGTCCCTATGTTTGAAAGATTCTGTTCTAATTCACCGTGTAGAACTGGGTCACAGACAGCAATGGTGAAGACAGAGGAAGCACTGAGAAAACAATGCAATATGTTTGCTCTTCAGAACCCACAGTGGGTGCGTTGTTCTGAAAATTTGAGTAGTTAGGATTGTCATTCCCATTTTAAGTGTTTTTGGATAGATTGGTTTAAAAATGGGGTGTGGACCTAGGTACTTTTAAAGAGTATAAAGTTAGCTTCTTATGATTTCACTTCGGGTAAGAATATTAGTCAGTATGTTATATTATGCTGTGTGGTGATAACTGTTTGAGATTGCCTGGGACTTCAGGGTTCTCTGATGCACATGAAATAGAGGTAACAGGGTATCGTGTTGTTGTAGTCCTTATGCCATAGGAGGGTAAACTGTTACAGTGGACCCTGGAGTGACAACTTGCCTGACAGGTGAACAAACTGAATTTTAGTTTTAACTTGCAACTGGAGTCCTGAGTAAGGGCCCAAATGCCAGCCACTTGTGCTTCCAGATGGTCTTGGATGCAGGTTTAACATTTAAAGAGTTCTGGAAGGAACATGACAGCATCCTGTCCTGTGTGGGGTTGAGAAATCCTGAGCCAATGCCTCCCTAAGGACACATCTGCCTGTGTACAGGAGAGAGACTTTGAAGGCTGTGGAGAGGAGCCTGAGCCTCCATTGACCAACTTGAGTTATGACCAGCCCTCTTTCACAAGTCAGGGGTCCACTGTACTTTGGAGGGGTCTGCTCACTGTCCTTCTAATTTGCTCTTAATCAGTTCCATCGTGGAAGGATGGATACTCAAGCTCACTGAGTGCGCATGTAGAATGAAAGAAAAGACTGGAGACAGAAGGGTATAATGCTTAAAAACAAGGATTTGGGGACCTGGGTTAGGCCAGTATGTCCTAGAAAACATCTGTAATCATATTTTCCTCTGGCATTGTGATAGGGAATAATAAGTTAGTACATTAAAGCTTTCAGAGCAGTACTGGACCTTATACATAAGCTATTATACTTGAGTGATTTCTATGAGCTGCAAATATGTGATTATCATTTGAGTAAATATCTATGAGCACATCTATGAAAAAAATTCCTTTCACCTTTTTCCTCAATTTCTTTCTATGTCTTTTTTTTTTCATTGAGTTTATTGGTACATTTTAGGTACACAGTACAATTACATTCATCATTGGGATCTTGTACCTTTACACACAGGTCTTGGTTCTCATTTTTTTCCCCATTCCCCTGCCCTCCCTTTACCCCCTCCACCCTCCCCTATTTACAAAGTCTTTATTAGTAGTACCTAATTAATTTTTAGAGGCTTTCTTATGTTTTGCTATTATAATTATAAATTTTCTTTTAATTTTTTGATGCTATGAGTTAGTAACACATTTAATATATAGTTTTTATAACATGTAAATGGGCCACTCAGTTGTTTTTTGACCAACATCCTAATTTTGGTTGTGTTTCGGGTAGACAAGATCATTGGATGATTTCAGGATCCAGATAACATCTTGTAATAGAAAAATAAGTCAAGACAGGCGAGGCATGAGATCATGCAAAATCCAAAATAATGATTTCTATTCAATTATTGGGCTATAAAGATTTCAGTATAACTATTTTACTGCCCTTTAGGGATTAAGTTTCAAATTAAAGGCAACACAGAAACAACAGACTTACAAGGACAGTAAGTTCATATTCCAATTACAGGGTGTAATTGCTAACTCTCAGGTAAATTTTAGATTGGAGGTGAGGAGGGTAAAGAGGCAGAGGAAGAGTAGGGGAACAAAGAGGCTGTCTTCTTCTCTCTTATTGCTCTTGTAACTGTTACTTTCTGACCCCTCCATGGCGATGATGACACGAGCCTCCTCTTCGGCTGTTAGCCCAGCTGGGTTCTGGAGTTAGCGTGCTCACCCACGCACAGCGACAACGCACACTTGCCACCATGAAAGAAAACAATGCGTAGCTGTGGGCAGCTTGCGGCAGGACATGAGGGGGAGGACGCCTTGCAGTCTGAGCTCTTAACTTGTTCCTTTGCTTTGCTTGAGAAGTCAGGATCACTTGATCTCTGAGATCAGAACAGAGTGAAGGATGCCGCCCAAGGAGAAGATACCACCACAGACAGCTGCCGTAAAACATTTCCAGGATGTGGGACAGCCCTGCCAGCTGCAGAGGAGCAAAACAACAAAACAGACCCTTGTACGCTGGCAGAGCTGCACGTGGGGAATGGCCACTGGCGGTCTGGGGTTTGTGGGAAGCTCAAAAGGGATTTTATGGGTGAGAAAAGGTGATGTGGTACAGCCAAGTACCAGTGAAGAGGGTGGGTGCCACACCCTCACAGAGGTCTTCTGAAGACGTCACAAAAGCATTCCTAGTGTTGATGGCGTTTTCCCAATATTATTCCAAGGCCTTTACCTAGAGTGGGTTTGTGCAGGGAATGGGTGCTCAGGATTGGATGAAGGGATGAAGGAATCTGGAAATTGATAGTGGAACTGGTGAATCCCGGGACTGCGCTGCGACTGCTCTGTTCCGTTTCCCTGAGAGTGAAGATGTGTGTGAGCAAAGGAGGTAAAGTCAGAAATTATGTACAGACTGGCATGCAGGGAGGGAAGCACTGGTGTTCAGTAGAGGAACTCGTTCTGTCTCTAGGACCCTGGAAAAGTTGGCTCCTTCCCAGGGCCTTTTATATGTTCTCTGGGGTAGCAGTTCCAGATGTTAGAAAGGCAGGCAGCTGACCTCTCAAATCCAGGTTTAATGAAGAACGTGATTTGGCCCCACTATTCTGGTCACTGTAGGGAGGGATGTACTTAAAAGGACAAAGGAGAGAGGAAGCTGCCATCTCTTATGTACTCGCTCACTTCCGTAACATCATAACCAAATTGGTATTAAAACAAATCTGTGACTTCAGTGGTTTAGGAATTGCTGTTGTGTTCTCTTAATTAATCTCTGCTCAACGTTTATTCATTTTTCCAATTCCAGGTTATTATTTGAATTTTTAAAAACTGAAGTTCTAGATGTCTGTATTTCTGCTATGGCCAGTACATATTTCTGTCTTTATTAGATTCTCTGATGTATCTCCTAAGAAAAGACATGTTCTTCCTCACTTATTCCTGAGATTTTCTTGTTCCACTTGAGGGTCACAAATGCAGCATTTAAGGACATAAAATATGTTGGGAAATGGTATTTCCCAAAGATAAATGAAACGACAAGAAGCCAGGCATGGGCTACTCCATGACTGTGCTTGTTTTCAAAGTAGAAATGTTCTGCATCCATGTATGAATTATCATGCTACATCCCATAAATCTGTACAATTAAAATAGTGACTTTTAAAAGGGTGGAAAACATGTATTTCCAGAAAGACATCCTGCTAGTTTGGTCTGGGAGGTGGAAATAGATACAACTATTATTAACAAGATTCTCTTACAAGTGCAACACCCACAGAAAAGAACCAAGAGGATATAATGACTGCTTTAGGAAGTAAAATTTAAAGGAGCTTTCATTTTATATTTATGATACAAACTAAGTATGTTTAATTATAGATTAGAAAGGTAAATATGGGTCAGGGCTGGCTATTACGGATTTTGGTTTCCCAGAGAATAGGAAGATTTCGCCGAGATATGATAAAATATGCACTCTGCTCTCTATAATTTTGTAACAGATACTTTCTCAGGCTTCCCATCTAAACCACATTTAGAGGTCTTTTTACTGAGTCAAAACTATGAAAATAGTCTGAAGCTTAACATTTGGATTTGTTTCCAAATCCATTTAAGAGAAAATGGTGTTATTTTACCTTGTTTATATTTTTCTTTTTGTACTGACTGGGAAGGAAATCCAAACAGACAGGTTGTAAAGTTGTCTTGCTGGCCTTGAGCAAAAGCCATACTGAGGTCAAAATCACTGAACCTCAGTATTTCTTTCTTTAAACTTTATGTCTTTAAGGAGTAAACTAGAAGTCTTGGCTTATTAAAGCTTCCTATGGTTGGACATAATGAGGATCTTTAAAAAATACTGTGACTCCCAAAATATCTGTCCTCATGTGTAATTCTAACACCTGCATTTGATTTTATGCTTTTAGCTCTATTGCCCTAGGGCTTTTCCATTGTTTAGTGTTTGAAGACTTTGCCTGTGGACAATAAACCCGAAGATATGTCTAGAATCTGTGAGGACTACAGGAGGCCCTCTTCTTAGCTCCATGACATTCAGTGCATGCTAGGGCCAGAGTTACCCAGAAAACTGTCAAAGGATTTCCAGGGTTTGTCCTGACACCAGAATCCTAGTATTGGCAGCATCACACCTGCCAAATAAAAATGTAGAAAGCCTTTGAAAAGCTGTTTCCTTTAAGTATGTTTCTTTGCTGTTTTGTTAAGTGTACTTGAACTTGTTAGCCTGCCTTGCTGCTCACATAACACAGACCTGAAAAACTTAATGCTGACCTATATTTTTGACTCTGCCTGGAATGAGACAGCCACATGGGAAGTGGCTGCTGAGACAAAGGGTACCTCACTTGTGACGAGTACTCAGCTAGATCCATGCCCCTGCCCCATCTCTCTCTCTCTCCTTGAGAAAGCTCCTCTTCTGCCATGGGGAGTCCATCACCCCCCCTCACCAAGGAGAGGCTTGGCGAGCCCAGGAACTGTTTATGTTTTCCACAGAGCAGTGAGAGACAGTTTTCTCTTTTCTGTCAGGATTTCCCGCAGCAACTTGGCTTCCCACCTCATTCACCTTACCTTCCCCTGGGACAGAGCTCTAGTGCTATTTGTAAGAAAAATTCATTTTTAGGTCTGATATTTTTTCCTTGCCACCCTGCGGACCCTCTTCACAACAGAAGATGCCATCCCTCTTGCCAAAACTTGTAGGAAACTCCAACCCTTCCTCTAACTTATTGGGAAGAGCTTCCCATTTGAACCACAGGACAGCTAATGTCAGCAGCTCAGAATTCCCCCAGTCCGAAGAGGACTTTCCTACTTAATAGTTTTCTAAGTGAGGGTCAGTGCTTACTACTGAACTTTGAAAAGAGAGGGGTCATGACTGAAAATGAACATGAATGTCAATGTGAAGCCAAGAGAATTAAATTTCAGTTCCAAATGGCCACAGAGTTTTCTATTGGACATAGAGAAAAGTGACTTTTAAAATTTCCTACTTATGGGACAAATGTATGGACAATTATTTTTCTTCTTTTCCTGGTGTCTCCTAAAGTGCTATATATGCCTTTGGCAAACACCAAGTGTGAGGCAGTCTTCATGTCCTAGGCTTACAATTTATGGTGTTTTGGTATTTATTCCTCTGCTGTTGCTATCATGTAGCTAGAAAAATTCATCTCAAAGGTTTTCTACCTATATTGGGTCAATCACTAAACAGTACGAAGTCTAAAAAGCAGTTTTATTGTTCATAATAAAACCATTTTGAGTCCACCATTTATTTTCACGTGGCACTGACTCATCTATCTTCTGTTCCCAACTCTCGCTTGATAGGTGTCAGGATGAGTGCCCTGTGGGGACCTATGGCATTCGCTGCGCAGAGACCTGCCGCTGTGTCAACCGAGCCAAGTGCTACCACGTGAGCGGCACGTGCCTCTGCGAGGCGGGCTTTGCTGGCGAGCTCTGCGAGGCGCGCCTCTGTCCAGAGGGCCTCTATGGCATCAGGTGTGATAAGCAGTGCCCCTGCCACCTGGACAACACTCAGAGGTAAATGCCGCTGCTCCTGGAACAGTGTGTGCCGTTAAAGTTTTAATCTTAGCATCCAGGATTTGGTAAGACGGAGCCCCAGAGTTTTAGACCACAAGATCCTTCCTTTCCCTGGGATAGCCTGGATAGGCATCTTCATGCCGAAGGAATTAGTGACTGAAGGTCCAGGTCAGCAGGACTAAAATTGCTCGATGGGTGTTGGTGGGTATGAAATTCTTGTATTTATTAGTGGCACCTGATAAAGATAAAGTTTGCCGAGTTTACGACTATTCCCTAAGAGGGAGTCGGTGACCCTCCCTTAGAAGTAAAGGTGCAAGGGAAAGACGAAGGGTTAGGCCAAGTTTAGAATATAAAAAATACCATAAAATATTTTTACTGCAAGATCTCTTACTTGACAACACATCTGTGGAAGGAAAAAGGGCTACAGAGAGGAGGTGGATCGGTGAAAGTTTTGTGAAAGTGTTTCACATGGGGTTGTCACGCGTGAGATATCTCCAGGACTGGTTACTCTGACATAGAGCTCTAAGGGGTCTTTTAGGTAAAACATCTCTCACAGAATCTGAGCACAGGACATCACAATCCCACCCACCCTCTGGCCCTTGTCTTCCGGAAACACATCCCTACCCTGCCTCTTCATCTCCCATCTCTAAGGACCGCATACGCACAGCACAGAATTCGGGGCCTTGCTGGAAGACTTCGGGAAAAGCTGAATCGGACAAGAATGTACTGCGTTGCATATGTGTTCACATGTCGCTAGAATTGCTGTTCTTTGCAGTCAGCACAGATGTTACTTCATGTTTACTTCTGAAGGGTAACTCACGGCCACATGACATCCCAAGTGTGCAAAAGTTAAACGTAAACAGACGCATGTCATCGGTCTCTTCTTCAAGCCGTTGTTAGGCATGAAAACGGACTTTGTTTTGTGTCTGTGTGTGGTATGTGTGTGAGGGGAAGCACTTTAGTGGCACATGTCAAAAAGCGTATTCTCAATGTGGTTTGATAATTTTGTCAGCCACCTTAGTGAAGTCTTGGGTTTCTTTCTTTTTTTTTTTTTTGGTACCAGGGATTGAACTCGGGTCCTTGCGCTTGCAAGGCCGGCCCCCGAACCACTGAGCTAAATCCCTGGCCCTCTTTTTTTTTTTTTTTTTTGGTACCCGGGATTGAACTCGGGTCCTTGCGCTTGCAAGGCCGGCCCCCGAACCACTGAGCTAAATCCCTGGCCCTCTTTTTTTTTTTTTTTTTTGGTACCCGGGATTGAACTCGGGTCCTTGCGCTTGCAAGGCCGGCCCCCGAACCACTGAGCTAAATCCCTGGCCCTCTTTTTTTTTTTTTTTTTTGGTACCCGGGATTGAACTCGGGTCCTTGCGCTTGCAAGGCCGGCCCCCGAACCACTGAGCTAAATCCCTGGCCCTCTTTTTTTTTTTTTTTTTTGGTACCCGGGATTGAACTCGGGTCCTTGCGCTTGCAAGGCCGGCCCCCGAACCACTGAGCTAAATCCCTGGCCCTCTTTTTTTTTTTTTTTTTTGGTACCCGGGATTGAACTCGGGTCCTTGCGCTTGCAAGGCCGGCCCCCGAACCACTGAGCTAAATCCCTGGCCCTCTTTTTTTTTTTTTTTTTTGGTACCAGGGATTGAACTCGGGTCCTTGCGCTTGCAAGGCCGGCCCCCGAACCACTGAGCTAAATCCCCGGCCCTTTTGGGTTTCTTTATTGGAAAATATCGCCATCCTCAACACAATAAGTTTAGACGAGCGTTCGGGGAATAAGAGGGAATACTTCTGCAGGATTTGGTTTCACTTATCCAATATTAAGGAGCTAGCAATATTACAGACAAATCACAAATGTAGCCTCCTTTCCTGCAGCACTAGGCTTGTTGCAAAAAAAAAAAGAAAAAGTAAGCCTTCGTGGCAATAGCCGAGGGTACACTGTGTCCGTGTAGGGCTTTGTTGTGTGTGTACACAGCCGACATCAAATGCAGTGATAAACCTACAGGAAGGAAGAGCTCTGCTATGAGAAGAAAAATTGGAGAAGCAGAGAGAGTGTCAGCTTTGTCGGAACTGGGTGCTACCTTAGTAGTGGCAAGATGCAGGTAGAGAATTACTCGATACCAATACTGTTGTAATTTTGAAATGGGTACAATGTAGCTAAATATGCATGGTCTCACAAAGAAGCACAGATTACCCGACAATCACGCAGATCCAAATAACAGTGAGGTCTGTCTAATGCAGTATGTCACATATCAGAAGATCAGAAACAGAACGGAAGCTATTTTTAAGGACTAGCTTTTATAAATTTCTGTTCATATAAGTTGAATACTGATTGTATGACTCCGTCTGGTTGGGTTTGTAGTCAGCGCCATCCATTAATTTTTATATCTTGACCCAGGAATTCTTGTACTGTATCTTCAGCTTCCGCATAAAATTCCTGGAAAGACAGCGTCCTTTTGAACCAGAAAGAACAGAATCTTTTTTTAAATTCAAAGATCTAACTTATTCATTTACAATCTAATCAAGCAAGAGGAGCTCTGCTGTTACATAATTCATGATATACATTTATCCCTAAAGCTTTTCACTATACTTTATATTTCATTATACTTTTATATTTCATTTTAATTAATGAGATAACTAATGCAATGTAAATTAATCGTTTATCTTACCTTTAGGTAAATCTTGAGTTCTATAAATGTTCAATACATTGACGTGTGTTGCAGCTGTCTATTTAGTAGGGGTTTGTATTAATTAACTTTTACCGCACCATGAAAAACAATTTACACCAAGCGTAGTGCCCTAAAGCACACTTACTAGGTGATGATTTTTCACTCTGCTATTTGGGCCAGACTCAGCTTGGTGATTCTTCTGCAGGTCTCCCTGTGTTCAACTGGCAGGTTGAGTGGAGGCTGATCGGTCCTGGATAGCCTCATGTGCACATCTGATGCTTTGGCTGGGTGATGGGGCGTCCCGAGCTACATATCTCCAGCATCTAGCAGGCTCTGCTGGGCTATTTTATATCAGGATGGGTTTCTAAAAGCAGCAAAAACACCTTTCAAGCCTTTGGTTGTGCCATAGCTGCAATTTTTTGTTTGTAAGACAAAGCAAGTCTTACAGCTAAGTCCAGACTCAATAGGCTCTACCTCTGTGTGAGGAGTTGCAAAGAATTTGTTATCAGATTTACTTTGTGATCTATTGTTGAGTTGAAAGGAGTTTAAATACATTTACACATAGTATTAGTGTTTTAATGTTAGCACTGTTTTTTAGCTAAAACACATTTTGTCATGACCTGAACTTTTCTACTGAAAGTTACCTTCTATAGTGCAAATGATTTTGAGCAAGAAAATGACATTTGATGTTTGGTTAAATTCCGCACGAGATATGTATATTAGCTCTTGTTAATAAGGACATTCAGTAGCTGCTGGCCGTCAGCTCGCACCTCTTTGCAAATGCCACCTAATTGCCCCTGCATTTGAGCACTAACAACACTTAGGGAATGACTGAGAGGGCGCTCGATGACTTGTCCTGTTCTCGTCAATGTTGCATATTATCACTGTACGTAAGATCTTGTCGTAATTCAGTCGTTACATTTAAAAATACCTCGAAAATGTATATCTAGCTCTGTGGGTGTATAAAATAACAGACATTCTCCTACGTGTAAAAATCATATTTTCCTATATGCAGTCTGTTCTTTAGATGGAAAACAGGTATCGAGGATATCACCCTTCAACCTCCAGACTGCTGCTCCTACATCAACGGATAAATCTCATTACCAATTAAGTTGCATGCATGAGAACCCATCAAATGCCTCCAAAGTGCTCTGGCTCCCTACATCTAATTACAAATTGCAGAGTGCTGATTTGGGTGTCAATCAATCTGGGAACCAGTGTGCACTATCACTCACTGGGGGCATTAAATATTAGTTTCTCTGTGTGCTTCTCTCTCAGTTCAGTTCTCCGTCCCGATTATCTGTTTTGCTTAACACATACATGCCTACATCATGAATGTTATTTTCTACTTTTTAATGTAAGCAATATTTTCTACCAAAAATGTCCTTTCTTTTGTAGTATGTTAGCATAATGTAAAGTACTTTAACCCATTATTTGAAATATTTTCTTTTCCTTTTCTCAAATATAGGGCTTTCCCAAAGCCAATTTAAATTTATCCCTGTTGTTTTGTACAATCCTGCCGACCTGATAGTATTGCTAACTCTTAAATTTTAGCAATTCTCTTTTGTATGTAGTAATCCTTTGCTGCTAGCAAACTTCCTTTTTCTTGGGTGTAAAAGCAGCCCTTAGTTCAAGTTTGATTCTGCCCCTATCTGTGTGAGACTTTGAATAAATCTTACCCTCTCTATGCCTATACTTTAGGACATTATGAGGACTGAACTTGATAATTCACTTGGAATGTTCTCACTGCAATGACATAACTCAGTGCTTTATAAAGCTGCTGGCCTACACCTTCACCAACAGTAACAACACAAATATAACTGAGTGATTCCTGCAGTTAGTGCTGGTTCCCTTTAAGCCAAGACTTATGCAGATGTACGGATTATCATTTAGTGTTGCTTGAAAGATCATCTTTGAGAGATATCAGGAAGAAAGAGATGTGTGAAAACTAGATCTGGAGTAGGATCCACTGAACATCAGTTATGCCTTTATCATTTACTCATTTAACAGTCTCTACTAGGAGCCTCTCTTGTGCAAACTTAATTCTTGCCATCATAGAGCTCATATTTTAGAGCAGAAGAAAGCTATCACAGGGCTGCAACAGTAAACCTAGGCTTAGGGGTTATGACAAATGAGCTGAGGAAGCAGATCAGGTGCAATGAAAGCGAACAGGAGAGAGCTAATTAAAGTTTGGGAGGTCAGAGAACGTCTCTAAGATCGATATCTCAACTGAGAATGAAAAGGCACAGTGAAGAGAGACGAGGCAGAGCTGGGACCTGGCCGTCTAGATAAGCGGAAACCGTGTAGAGGCCCTTAACTGGGTAACATCGAACGCTTTTACAAAGTAAAAGAAATACGTTGTAGTCCAGCATAGAAATGGAGGACAGTGATGAAAAGAGAGGTAGAGAACAGGCCGTGACCAGATGCCGAGGCCACGCGGACCGGATTCAGAGTGACGTGTGTCAGGCTGGTGAAGACTGTTATTCTGATGTGTTCGTAGCTCCCTCTTCACTCTTAATAACGTCCCATTTTGCACAATAAATCATAGCCTTACTCTCTGTAGCACACACTATGGATTGTATTCTAAGTGTTAAGTAAAATTGTGAAGAGTTTTAAGGAGGAGAATGATATGGTCTGATTTACTCTTTAGGCAATGAGGCATGTGTGGCTGCGAGAGAAAAACTGCAGAGTTTTTGAGGAATTAAGGAGATGGCCTTTGTGGCACGGAGTAGAATGGAACAACAAAGATGAAGAGATGTGGACAGAGTCAAAATGTGTTTTAGAGTTAGAACAGTTCAATTCTAGTAATGGATTCAATATGGCAGGTAAAGCTGAGGTTTTCAGCAAGAATTCCCGGGTAAACAAAGTGAGGGGTGGTACTGTGCACAGTAATACAGATGACAAGTGAAGGAAACCGAGTGATAGATGAAGGGAAGTAGGGCTCTGCTTTGCTGTGTTTTGTTTCGTTTTTGTGCTGGCAGTCAAACCAGGGCCTTGTGCATGCCTGGCAAGTGCTCTGCCTCTGAGCTACATCTCCAGCCTTAGGGCTTATTTGTCTTTCACATGCTAAACTTGAGATGCCAGAGACATGCCGGGTGCCTACTCAAGGGTAAGCAATTACCAAAGCACAAAAACAGAGCAGATCTAAGTAGATCTGAGTCTCCAACCCTTGTCTTCTGAATCTAAACCTTTGATACTCAGGACAGTATCTCAATTGCAGAATTGTGCTTGCATATTTCTTCGTAGCATGTTTCCTGAGTATGATTTTGTTGGATGCTGTCCTAGTTCCTTTTGTTGTTGCTGAGACAAAAATACCTGACACCCCAAAGTAAAGAGGAAAGATTTATTTTAGTCCATAGTTTGTAGAGGTTTCAGGCCGACTCCAAGGTAGGGTGGTATGGCAGAGGGACATAGCCGAGGAGGAACAGTCCAGAGAAGGGTAGGCAGCAAACAGCAGCAGTGAAGCCGCAGCAGCAAGCCTCCCTTTCCCTCTTATCCCCTCCAGGGTACAAGCCTTCCCTTCTCGATACCCAGACCTATGCTAAACCAATGAGTGGAATAATTTGGTTATCCCACCCGTAATCCACATTCACATAACGGATCCAGCCACCTCTGAAGATCCCCACGTATGAGTACATGAGGCTTTGGTGCAATATCTAGATGTAAGCCGTAATAGATTTTGCCTGTGACAACCTAGTTGCAGTAGGAGTCTAAAGGTGTATCTAAATAAATTTACGAAAATGACAAACAAACCATCTAGCTGGTAAACTTTTTCTGAAGAAGGAGAAGGAGAAAGAAAAGAAGTGGAAGAAAGAAAACAAGAAATAGAACAGGAGATTCTGTGGCACGGCAGAGACCCTCTCTGGACAGACTAGAACATCAGGCCTTCACTGGAGGTTGTTCAGGTAGTGGGAGACTGGAATTACAGTCTTCATCTCTTTCCAAAAGCATGGAATCTGGGCACTGTCCTCTGATTAGGGCTAATTTAGCAAATGTCTGGATACAGCAGAGTTTTGCTGTTGGCCCTGGTTAAAGGGATGGTTTTAACTCAAGTCAAAGATCATCCTCAAAGAGTTTGCCAACTGTCAGCAGAGCTAGTTTGGTTGTTAAGATTTTTTTGGTAGTGAAAAGCACATGTGTTTTGAGCCAGCGTGTCACAGAGTGCCGTATTGTGTCACTTCCTCACACACGCAGCTTAGCACAGCTGATGTGTGCATTTGTTACTGAGCAACAGCTGGCTGCCTAGCCCCTCTGTGTGGCTGCTGTTTCAGGTGACAACAGCTGCTCTGCTGCCAGGTAGAGGGAGCTGAGGAGACTCAGGCTGACAAGGTCACACTGCTTTTGGAGTTGGCTGGGCTCACAGTGGTTAACTAACGTGGTATTTCCATTGGATAGAGTTTAGCACTTCTCATAGAATTGGCTTCTTATTGAATCAGTGCTTTTAATTCAAGAAAATTAAAAGGCATCTCCAACAAAACAGAAATTAGAAAGCATTTCCATATGGTTGTAGTAGTCATGATGCAAGAGCTTGATGCTGATTTGATACATTTCTGCAGCACCAATTAGGTTTTAGCCAATTAATGAAATGATACCAAGCCTTGGAATGAGGTTCTACATGGAATTATCCACACATTTAATGATCATGGCTAAAGCAACATTTGCCCATGCCTTGGGTGTCATGTTTGCCCCAGAATGACTTGTTCCTTTCTTCCATGTCTCTCAGCTGTCACCCCATGTCTGGAGAGTGCGCCTGCAAGCCAGGCTGGTCAGGACTCTACTGTAATGAGACTTGCTCTCCTGGATTCTACGGGCAAGCTTGCCAGCAGATTTGCAGCTGCCAAAATGGGGCCGACTGTGACAGTGTGACTGGAAAGTGCACCTGTGCCCCAGGATTCAAAGTGAGTGACTTGCGCTGCGCAGACAGGAGGGCGTAAGCGGGAGCGGATCAGTCCCACGGCTTACATGACCTGCTGTAGAGTGCAGTGAACATGCTCAGATCATTCACATTCTTAATAAGAAGAAGAAGAAAGAGAAAAGTGTTAATAGAGATGGAAGTAATGCCCTTTGAGTGAAGACTGCAAAAGCTGGTGGAACTATAAATGTATCATTAATTTTAAATATAAGAATAGGTCAGGAAGTATGGCATATTATAATTATTCCTTAAGCAATTATTTTAGTGTCTTTTATAGGGAACAAAGAATTTAGATTAGTTATTATTATAAACAGTTACTGTTTTAATTTCATGAAATTTTAAAGACATATCATACATCAAGTTAGCATGTATTATGTACATTCTAAAGTTCGTTGCACATAGTTTTTAGGTCCCTTTGAGACTCATGGCACTACAAATATGCCTGTATCCTAACAAAGCAGAATTTCACCTACAGTTTCTAGGATTTTTTAAGTATAGGTAGGAATCTTTGAAGGGAAATGTGTTGCTCTCGAATTATCTCCTTTCTTTCTAAAGAAGGTCACGTTGAACTTTGAAGAATGTTGATGATTATTCCAGAGCACAAAATGCTGTACTAGGGGATCATAAAATCACAGAGCTGAGGGAATCTTTCCGAACCTATGTCACAGTCCTTTTGCTGAGCCTTTCCTTTAACCTTTGTTTTGAAAAGAGTCTCCCCCACCCTCACTTTTTTTTTTTGAAAAGAGATGCCCTCCAGTTGCCTTTGGTAGTCCAATGCTGTGTTCAGCGCTCATTATTGGATAAATTGCATCATGCTGCTGGCTAATTGTGCATTCTGTTGCTTTGTTTCACCTACTGACAATATTACATATTATACAGGAAAGTCTAGGAAGCATTGGAAACTAATGTATAGTCAGGTCTGTGCCTGTGTATTTATCCACAGTAATTTTACAGCTACAATTTAGTTTAATATATTGACTTGTCGGAGCAAGGATGAAAGGCTTATATTTTTAGTTCTGCTCTGAAGGCACTAGGTTTTTGGGGGGTCCCATTTAATACTCTATCCTAAACATAGGCCAGCTAGTATTACCCTCGATCTCTATAACACGCATAGTGGTGATGTTGTAGCAACTTTGAAAAAGATACAATGTGTTAAAATTAGAGTGGGAGCACAGTCAGCATTGCCAAGATGTATTGTTGTTTGTGTTGGCCTGATTGCAGTTGGCAACACTGCCTGCATTTTACTATTTGTGCTTGTCTAGGGAAATGACTGCTCTATCGCATGCCTTCCGGGAACCTATGGGATAAACTGCTCCTCTCACTGTGGCTGTAAAAATGAGGCCGTCTGTTCTCCTGTGGACGGTTCTTGTACTTGCACGGCAGGTAAGAGTGGGTGAACGAGTCATTTATTTGATTCCAGCCCTCTTGTCTACTCAAGTCACAGGAGGGACACCTTGACAAGGCTCTGGCACCTGCTGCATCAAAGGTGGGTGCCAGACCTCAGCAAGGCCCTCACTATGCATGTGGGCTCCGATGTCTTCATGAGTCAAGGAAAAAGCTCACATCAGATGATCTCTGAAGTTCCTGCCAGCTTTAGAAGTCTGTGAATCTGTGCTTTGGGGAAGAGCCGACAAGAAGACATGTGTCTGTGCTTCTGAACTGACTAGCCTGGAGTCATGGCAAGAAATGCAGCCAAGCACAGATTGTCTGTGAGGCCCCGGATGTGTCCATCCATAAATGAAGCCAGGATCTTGGATACATTGTTCATGGTGAATGGGGTCCTGCATCAAAGACAGGGTGTTCTTTCACACACAAGCTTCCCTCTTCTTCCCATGTAAATATTCTAGTGTTCCCAATGTGAGCAATATTCAGCATTCCACCATATGCATCACCACGCATTAAAGTTGCCCCACTCTGGGTCTTTTTGCCCAGAAGCCCGGTGGTGCCTCTCAGCGTTGGCATCCTTGGCAGATGACACAGCACACACAACTGTTTGGGTCTTCAGGGGTGCCTTTTGTTTATTTCTCATCATGGCCTTTGGTGGCAGAGCCAAGGCTCTGTGCTGCTGGGGCCCAGCTGAGAGGCAGTGTTGTGCCTCCCCAAGATGTTTCCAAAGTGAGACGTGGTTTGGGCGGCTCTCACGTCTGGCTGCCTTTGTTTCTCACATGCTCTGTCCTGTTGTGCAGGCTGGCACGGTGTAGACTGCTCCATCAACTGTCCCAGCGGCACATGGGGTTTGGGCTGTAATTTAACCTGCCAGTGTCTCAATGGGGGAGCTTGCAACACCCTGGATGGAACCTGCACGTGTGCCCCTGGATGGCGCGGGCGGAAATGTGAATCTCCCTGCCAGGTAAGCCTGCTCTGGCTGGGATGGCCTGGGAGGAGCTGATGCTGGGTTGGTTTCCTTTTCTCAGATTTCCTGATTTAAAGTGTCTGGGTATGAATAAACTTCAGCCGCTATTAGAAGAACCAAGGTGGACCTAGGGTTAGAAAGAGTTGGACATGGAAATCACTCATAAAGGCTCTGTGAGGATATGTTCGTTCTTTTCTTTTATCTCTGCGCTGGTTCCTCCCCACCCAGTCAAACGTTTTCTGTTTCTTATACACTCATCACTGCTGGCAGCCAGTCAGCAGCATTGGTCAAAACACCCAGTGTAAGCCTGTCACTCTCCAAATATTTTGTTTCCATTATCATGGAAAGTGCTTGCCTTTGGGGTGGGAAGTAGCAGGGGACTGAAAAGGGGTGGTAACTGGTGTCACAGAAATGCTCATTGAAGTGATGAGAGAAGGTTGGGAAACAGTGTAGTTTAATGTAAATAACTCTGGAAGCAAAAACATCTCCTAAGATTTGCCCAGTTCGACACTCCGTTTTCTTGACCTACTTTGGAGTGTACATTATTAGAGATATCCCCTGTATCTACTGCAGGCTGACAGGGGTGCAGATGGGAAGTGTGTTCTGCAGTAGCCTGCTGGTTCCTCTTTGCAAAGCACTTGGCTGGTTTCTTTGCCTCCTTTGCATCTCTTTTTCTTCCGTGGAAAATCCTTTCTCCAGAGCCATTAAGAATTCTCTCAGTAGCTTATGTTTCTGCCTCCAGGACATCATCAGATGGCAAGATGATAATGTGACCCCCTGAACTAGGCCTCTGGAGAAGTGGCTTCCAAGAAGGCTTTTCTCTCTCTGGGCTTCCTCCTCATTAAGGACAACCCATTTCCCAAAGAACTGAGGACCCCTTCCCTGCCAGGCTACTCTGTGCCCTCCAACCCTCCAGGACAGACCTTAGCTTTGCTGCCTTTCTGCAGACCAGTGAACAAAGTACCCATACTTGCAGAAGGCTTGGAAGTCGTCTTTCATTCTCTGGCTGTGGACAATGCAGAAGACCAGGGAGCCACCTTGTCCTTTCCCCTACTTTAGATGTGTTAGTAAATCAGGAAAAGCTGTTGTCTAGAGGTCTATAGTGTGGTAGAGCTGAATCCTGTGCAGCTCTATCCAACAATAGTGAGGCCTAAAAAATGGTTTCATTGGTTTTCTTAGTTCAATAAGCTCTAGACAAATGATCATGCCATCTAACAACCATTGCTTGTTGATGATGGTTACCATTGCTCCCGACTTGTAATTGTGTACCTACATCTTTCCTTAGTGCTGGGCTGGTGTGGGGAGGTTTGTAGCACTCTCCCTCAATTCCCAGGATCTGGAGTGAAAGAGCAGAGTTTTCCCTGCAAATGCAGAGCCTTTTATTCTTTTTCCATAAATGAAAGGAGCACGTCCATCCAAGAGTCCTAGCTCTGTCAGACCACCCACACTGAGGTGCCTGGAAAAACATGAAGATCTAGGAGGGGAAAAGGAAGGAAGGTGCAACATCATGTACTTAAGATCTTGAACCAGAATATTTCATGTGGTCTAGACTGCTTCCTGGAGAGGAAAATATTTATTGGGGAAAAGGAAGAAAAAAATGTTCACTTTTCTATATAGTGCCAATATATCCCATTAAAAACACATGGAAACGAGCTTACTCTGCTTGAAACTATAACTAATAAGAATTTATATGGGTCAGGGTCCACCAGAGAATAGATTGAATTATAGGGAGTACTGAACTGTGCTGTAAAAATCTTTAGGAACAAAGAAAACATTTGTACTAATTGCGTCTTGTGATAAAGTTTTTAGAAACCAACTGGCACATATATGCATATCAGCACCTTGACGTAATGCGTCTCACCCACCAGGCGTCGTCCTAACTTTGTAGCAGGCCTAGGCTAGCATCTGAGCAGTTTTAAAACACCGACCTGCCGGGGCTGGAATGTGGGGAACCTAGAAGACACGGGAAGAAATGCTTGTGATGGTGTCCTCGGCAGTGTTTGGGAGATTAGGTGCTGATCTGCACTAGCTGGCCCTGACCCGCGCCGCTCCCTTCGCAGGATGCCCAGGTTCTCACTGCTGTCTCTGATGCGGTCTCCCTTGCAGGATGGCACGTACGGGCTGAACTGTGCCGAGCGCTGCGACTGCAGCCACGCAGACGGCTGCCACCCCACCACAGGCCACTGCCGCTGCCTCCCTGGATGGTCAGGTAAGAGCCGAGGGCGCCTCCTTCAAGGCAGAAACCCACCAACTTATCACCTAGCACGAAGTCAGCTTTTCAAAAAAAAAAAAAAAAAAAAAAAAAAGAATAAAAAAAAAAAAAAAAAAAAAAAAAAATGGAAACAGTGAAGTTTCCAGTAAATGAACATATTGTTGCCCATGAAATGTAACTGCTAGTTTTATCTAATCTGTAACCCAGGGCTTATATTTTTGTTGATTTGTGTGTTGGGGGGGGTTCCCTTGAGCTTGCACATTAGGTCCAGTTGCCAGATTTCAGGCCAGAAAGGTGGGACAAATGTGAACGGCTGTGAAGAGTTCAGCAAGACGTCTGCGATATATTTTGAGCAATGAAGAGGGAAAAAAGATTGAAATAAACCCTAGGTATGTAGGGCTTATTTTGCTTCACCCTAGTGAAACAAAAATACTAAACGCTAATATTGATGTGGTAAATATGCAGATATTTAAACATTCTTTCCTGGAAATAAAAGTTTTAAAACTTTCCCTTTCTTGATTATGCTTGAGTCACGACAAATTCATAGCGTGGTTGAGCACAGATTTTCTAACCGCAGAGTGGGGAGTTCTCCTTATTTATGTGGTTTTGTGATTGTAGCCAGGAAGTTTATCAAGCCAACAATAATCCCAGAAGAAGGATGATGATTCCCTTCATGATGTACAGGCTCGCTTGGACATTTAGTGCCGTTTTCCAAGTCTGTAAATCATAGGCGAAAACACTGTTATTCTTCTAGGACCACTTTATATTCCCACCAGCACTGTGTGAGGGTCCAGCTTGTCTGTGTCCTCACAAACACATCTGTCTTTTTGATTACAACCACCCTTGTGTGTGTGAAATGGTATCTCATTGTGGTTTTGCTTTGCATTTCCCTGATGACTAATGATGTTTAGGTTGTATCTGTGCATTTACTGCCCACTGTATATCTTTGCAGAAATTTCTTTTCAATTCTTTGCTAATTTGAATTGGTATATTTTTCTTTTTGTGGTTGAGTTCTTTATGTATTTTATTTTATTTTATTTTTTTGATACCGGGGATCGAACTCAGGTCCTTGCGCCTGTGAGGCAGGCACTGGAACCACTGAGCTAAATCCCCGGCTGTCTCTATGTATTTTAGACAAATGTCCTTTATCAGGTATATGATTTGCAAGTATTTTCTTCCATTCTTTGATCTGTTCTTTTAAAAAAAAATTTCTTCATGATGTTCCTTGCAGAGGAAAAGTTTTTATTCTGATAAAGCCCACTTTATCTATTTTCTAAGTTCCACTAATTGTGTTTTTGATGTCAAATCTAAGAAATCAATGCTCAGTCCAAAGTCACAAAAACTTGCTCCTGTTTTTTTGTTTTGTTTTTTTTTCCCAAAACTTTAATAGTTTTAGCTTTTACATTTAGGTCTTGGATCCATGTTGAGTTGATTTTTTTAATTGTATGATTAGTAGGTCCCACTTTATTTTAGTCTTCTCCAAGTGTATACGCAGTTGCCCTGGCACCGTTTATTGAAAAGACTATCGTATGCCCTATGGAATTACACTGACCCCCTTGCTGAAGATAAGCTGTGCATTGTGATGGTTAAGACTGATTGGCTTGGGAGCTACCCAGGGGAGTGAGTACATCTGAGTGAGGCATGGAAGTGCAGTACGGCTTTGGGGTCTGTAGGCTCCTGGTTCTTTCTGCTAGGGCACGATTCCCCTGCTCTGTTTCCTTTAATAAGCCGCCTTTAACCAAGCATCTTTGCTCCACCTTTTCGTCACGATGTTTCTGCCTTTTAGCCTGTGGACCATGAACTGAATCCTCTGAGGCCACGAGTCAAATAAAACCTCTTCTAAATTGTGGGTGTTGTACTGGTATTGAGGCTTGTGCTTCAGCAACTGGAAAGTTGACTAATACAGAATATCTACCGGGAATGGAGTACTGGTATGACTATCTATACATGATCATGTGGTTCAGAAGCTGTTGAAACTTAGGAGTTTGGAAAGGTTTGGATATACAGACTACAGAAACTCTAGAATATTGCAAACAGAGCATGATTGGCTATTCTGATCAGAACTCAGAGGACGAGAATCCTGATAGGAATGCAGGCAGTAAATGCAAGAAGTTTCTGCATTTAACCAAATTTAGAATGAAAATTGGGCAAAAAGCAGAAGAGAAAATTTAAAAACTTAAATTTTGACCAAGAAGGAATCATATTTCAAGTCGGGGCCAAAGTAGGTATGGTGGTGAAGAGATTAGCACCATTAAAAAGGAACCAAGTACTTTGGGGACAAGAATGATGTTTTGAAGGCATCTAAGGAATCATCAAAACTCCATCCATTGCAGTCTCAAAGCTGCAAAAGTATAAGCCTTTTCATGTGAGAAGAGAGCCTTTGGGTTGCCTGCTCAAAAAGTGCTGCTTGGGCTGGGGATTTAGCTCAGTGGTTCTGCTGCCTGCCTTGCAAGCACAAGGACCCAAGTTCGATCCCCAGTACCAAAAACAAACAAACAAACAAACAAACAAAAACAAAAAAAGTGCTGCTTAAGGATTTGGTTCCCTGGGTTTTGTTTTACCATGGTCAGCTACCCAAGCACTCAGAAGCTGCTGCAGCCATGATTCATGGTGACCTGGATACTCCCTGTGCTGGTACCAGACTATGTCTTCATCCATGTGATGCTGATTTTACCAGAATGCAGGCAGCAAGAGTTGTGGAGTCAGGGAGATTTCAAGGGCCAGGGATTTGGCTCAATGGTTCTGCCGGCTGCCTCTACCCAGATTTCAAAGGAAGGTGTGGGAAATGAGGTTAAAAAAAATCCCCTGAGAAAGCAGTTCATAAAGCTATGGGAATGCAGTCAAAGGTGTATTGGAGATCCAATAAAGTCTGAGATACTGGAAACATGGAATATCTGCTAAAGAATGTTACAGGCTGTGAACATACATAGCCCATGAGAGAGGCCATGCTGGCTGCAACGAGCCAGGAAGGTTATAGGGATGGGGCTGTCTAAACCTTTTAGAACTCACATGCCCTGAATACAGACTTAATGATACAGAACTTAATGTTTTCCCTGCTGGGTTTCAGTCTTGCTTTGGTCCTATTCTTTTCTGTTTCCCTAGTTTTTCATTTTGGAAAGGGAATGTTCACCCTGTGCTATTGTAGCTTGGGATTATATGATTTGTTTTTTATTTTTACAGAGATTCACAGCCAACAGTTTGCCTTGAGTCTCAGAAGACAGCTGGGTTTGAGCTTTGGAAAATTACTGGAACTGTGTCTGGGTGTATCTGGGTGGGTCATAGAGGTGTGACGTGTAGTATTCTATCTGATCCCTTACCCCTTCTGCTCAAGAGCTGTTCCTCTGCTTTGCTTACCAGTAACCATGAATCAGATATCTTTGCTGTGTCACACCTTTCTACCATGATGTTTCTGCCTGGAGGCAGCTGGTCATAGACTGAATCCACTGAGACCTGAGCCAAATTAAACTTCTTTAACTTGAGGATGCCAGGCATTCTCAGCAACAGAAAAGCAAACTACTACATCTATAAATAAATTGAGGTTTATTTATCAACTCTGTTCTATCTTATTAATCTATATGTTTATCCTTATGCTAGCACCATACTGTTTTGATTACTGTAGCTTCGTAGGAAGTTTTTTTCAGAATTATTTTGACTATTTAGGATCTCTGGAATTACCATGCGAATTTTAGGATCAGCATACCACTTTCTATAAGAAGCAAGGTAGAAATTTAAGGGGATTCAATCTCTATATCAATGTGGGGAATGTTGCCAACTTAATTATATTATATAATTTTATTATATTAATTATATAAAGCCTTAACATGATATGTCACCAGTAACTTTTTCCATATTTTGTGATTCCCTTAGAATTTGTGGAGAGTTTCTTTTTTTTTTTATAGGAGTCAACTGACATGACTGTCATGTGCTTGATTTCTAGTGTCTGAGAACTGCTTTGGGAAACAGGCCAGGACTGGGCGACAGGCTTCGTTTCCTGTCAGTAGAAACCACCCTTGGGCAGAGTTTACTCAAAACAAACTTACTGATTAAAAAAAAGTTAGCCTGTCCAGTATTGAGAATGAAATGATGTCCTGTGTAAGTATTACATAGAATTTGTTCTTTCCTTTTAGAAAAAAAATAAGCCAATTCTTGGTTCAACTGTAGGATGTTTTTGAACTGTAGGATGTTTTGAACAAGCTCCATTTTGACATGTGTAATTCTGACTTTATAGTTTGAAATTCCACCTTCCCATATTCCTATTGGCTCTCTATTACTAAATACTAAAACTGAGTTGCATCAGGGATTAATTAGATTGTATGACTTCACCAGAGAACTTGAAGTTCTCAAATGGACTGACTAGTACTGATTTCTTAAAACCACAGTGAAGCAAGTAGCATTTTTAACCTTCTGGCATTTAAAACTTCCTTAAAAGTGAGGCTACATCGTTTATTTTGAAGCCATACTCCAGAAAATCTACTTCTGTCTTATGAATGTATAAAGGATATGAGGTGTCTCTGAACAAACCAGTCACTACTCAAGTGTCCACCTGCTTTGATGATTAGGATCAGCTTATGAAAGGCACACATGAGAAAAGCAAGAGATGATTTGGCCTGAAGCCAGCTGGAAAATTGTGGCATTCCACTGTCTGGGTCAGGGGGTAAGACAAATTATCCCATCTGGCCTTAGACCTATCAAGCTCTTCAGGAATGCAGTGGCTTTGTCCCACAATGTAAGATGTAATCCTCTGCCCATCTGTGACTGGCCTGTTTCTCCAAAAGGGAGGAAGCTTTGCTGACTCAGGCGGCTCCATCTCTCCTTGCCCACTGTGGCTATGCCTCATGGCCTGTATGTCTTTATTGCTCTGAGGCCAGTTTGGTTGTCCTGATGCCTTGTTTCTCTGTGTCTTCTGTGTGAGCAGTTGGTGTGTAAACATCTGTCAGTGTCTAAGCCAGCTGTGAAGTTATTCCTCCACACTCACAGAACACAATGGTATAAGTAAA